GTAGACAATCTGGCCACTGTCTCTCCCAGTTGCTTTCTCTCTAATTTGTCCCTTACACATACAGAACCTCAAAGACATAGCGATACCCAATCATTGCTACTGAACAATACAGAAATAAGGATACCACATAAGTATGGGACTACGAACACTAGTTTAAGAGTTTTATAGCAAAAAAATAATTGAGTATGAAAATTAAAGGGAAAACACAAGAAACATTGAAGGAGATGGGGGGGTGCAGTGGTCACCGTTAGAATGTCTCTATTTACTGACAGTAGTCATGCTGTGGTGTCTGAGATGCACCAGTGTTTCCCTGCTCTGATAATAGGAAATGACTGCAGAGTCTCAGATCACAAGCAGTGCTACGATAACAATGATACTGTAGCCAAATCCTGTTTACTTTTTACATTTAATAGAAAAAGCTTGCTAGAGTCCACTGAAGGGAAGGCACATATCACAGGGGAAGTTTTAGCTTTTTCCTTTTAAATGAGGGAGTTTAGTTAATGCTCATGAAACTGAGGAACCAATAGCACTAATTAGAACCTGGGATAAGGTGAGCAGACACTATGCTAACTTCCCCAAAGCTCTGTCAATGCACCTCAATTCTAACCTGATGCCCCTTTGTATTTCATTTCTGGCTTCTCTTGATATAGAAGCGCCAATGGTATTAAACTGACTGATGGATTCTGTAATGTGGATAAGTGTGGACAGATTTTGAACCTAACTCTTCAGTGCTGGCTGGCTAATAAGCTGCAGTGCCGAGCCACTTAAAGAGCATTAGCTAAAGAATTAGGGATCTGATGGAGTCCTCATCTTGGCTGACTCTAGGGCAGAATATTTCATCCCTCCTCTGTGGAAAACATCACCTGTAAAGCCCAGACTACAATTCTGTCCCTGATAATGCCTTTGGCAATATCCCTGTCCTAAGAACAGGGAAGGCTAAAGCATCTCAAAGTGCGGTTCTGCTCTACAAAGTGATTCTGTTAAAAAAAAAAAAAGCATGTGAGATTTCATGTTTATTGTCTCTCAGTGATTTCCCCCTTAAATCTGCTCAGTTCACATGTAAAAATACATTTCACTTAACTAGCTACCCTGAATACTCATTGAGGGTCTGGGCTATGCACAGTTATTGTACTGGTTTAATTCTATCAGTCTGACACTGATGGAGTTAACCTTCCCTAGTATGATGGGGCAGCTCCTACAGCAGTCAAGAAAGGGTTAAAGAGCTCCTCTGGGCACAACCCACCACACGCATGAGACTTGTCAAGCCTGGAGTAGGGTAGGACCTTAAAAGGGAGGATACTGGCTCAGTCTGGGTAGGAATCTGGTGTGAGCAGAGCTAGAGCTCCCCAGAAGACAGGGGTTGTTTCCTGGGAAAACTGCGTGAGCACACTGGCCTCCTGGGCCCCCTGAGGAAGTAGAGGGACTGGCTTTTCTATACATTCTCCTTTGCCCTCTAAAATGGTCCTATGACTGAAAAATCCCGGAAGTCTGAGCGCTTTCTGGGTAACAGTCAGCTGGCTGCCTAAGGAAACTGGATGGGCTCTTAATTAACACTGTGTTATTCATGTCACTCACCTCCCAAGTTTGACGCAGATCTACAACATCGAAAATGATTTTTCCATTTTCATCCTTTGGGAATGGATCTGTCCCGGGCTAAAAACAAAAAGGAAATCCCCCTTGGTCATGATGCTTTTTACACAAGTTGATTTTAACTATTTTGTGGCCAAGGAAGGAGTTGTAAGGAGGAGGAGTGGGGGAGGGAAGGTGTTGAACTTTAAAGCTGGATAAAAGCAATAGAATGGTTTTATCTAAAATGTGGAAATGGCAGAAGTGCTAACTGACCTTTTTGTTTCAGTTTTCACCGAAAAAGTTAGTACTGATTGGATCTCTACCCATGAAAATGAGGTAGGATCAGGGCTGCCGGAACAGGAGGGGCCAGGTGGCCATGCCCCCCCCCCCCATTTTTTACCAGTCATAAGGGCGAGTGACAGGAGGCAGAAAGGAACGATCAGGGAATGGTGTCTAGGGGGGAATACGAGCAATGGGAGCGGGGCCTCTGGGGAAGAGGCGGCAATGTGAGAGCGGGGTCTTTGGGGGAATACGCAGTTTGAGGGCGGTGGATCAGGGAGAAGGGGTGGCATCAGGGCGGGGGCTTGGAGAAAAGGGGTGGTGTGGGGCCTCGGTTCGGGCGCCTGTGCCCTCCCATCCTTTTAGGGTACTTCCGCCACTCCTGCATAGGATATGAGACTAAAATAGGGAAAGAACAAGTTAAAAATTACTTAGACAAGTTAGATGTCTTTGAGTCACCAGGGCCTGATGACTGAGGAGATATCTGAACAATTAGTGATTGTCTTTGAAAAGTCATGGAAGATGGGAGAGATTCCAGAGGACTAGAAAAGGGCAAATATAGTGCCAATCTATAAACGGGGAAATAAGGACAAATCAGGGAACTTCCTAACTATCAGGGTGGTTAAGTACTGGAATAAATTGCCTAGGCAGGTTGTGAAATCTTCATCATTGGAGTTTTTTAGGAGCAGGTTAGACAAACACCTGCCAGGAATGGTCTAAATCAGTGGTTCTCAACCTATTTACTATTGTGGGCCATATCCAATACTACCTGTATGGCCCTGAGGATGTCACATGGGCCGCAGCTCTGTGTTGATTGGGCTGCAAGTGGCACGTGGGCCGCAGGTTGGGAACCACTGGTCTAGATAATGCTTGGTCTTGCCACAAGTGCAGGGGACTGGACTAGATGACCTCTTAAGGTCCGTTCCAGTCCTATGATTCTACCTTGAACTGAAATGAATGCCTAGAAATAATTTTGTGTCAATAAGAGGATATGTGTTGATACTGGAAAATTAATTAACTCAGCTAAGCACTACTTTGATAAGAAATTCTGTTTATACTCAGTGAAAACAAAGCATGCATGTCAAAAGCAATTAGTGCCTAGAGATATTATAGATAAAACATATGTGGTGTCACAGAAAACTGATAGCTTCTCTGACAAAAAGAAAGAAGTTTGAATTAATGAACACATGATTAATAAGCTAAAGAAGTTATAGTTGATTACAACTGATCACAGTAACCCAAGGTTAGTTTTATAGATTATTGGTGAATTTCCAGAGTAACTAGAGATAGCTTTTGATCATTAAGTGTATATTTGAATTTAGAGAGTTCCCAAGATAGTTTGTAAATTTGCCAGTCCACACATATATATGTATATTTTAGTGGCATAGTGTGAACCAGGTAGCATATGATGTTTTAATAGCAAGGATTAAAAGCATAACCTACGTGCTTAATATAGATTGATTGTCAAGGACAGACAATATGAGTTTCCCCCCAAAAATATTTCATTATAGACTGTGCTTCATGCATTAGTTTTTCTTTTGTCTTTTGCCTTCCCCTCGAACACCCATCATAGGCTACTTCTGTAGGCTGGACGTAGGACTAGATGGACTACGGGTCTTTTTCAGAACAGCTCTGCTCTGGCCCATGGATATACTACCAAACATTTGTTTTCCTGTGTATATTTTTTAAAGAAATGTTTACCTTTAGAGACATGGGGTTGTGGATAATGAAGAGATCAAGATAGTCAAACTTAAGTTTCTTCAGTGATTGTTCCAGGCAGCTTCGGACAAGTTCAGGACGGTGAAAGGTACTCCAAAGCTGTAATGATTCAAACACAACTGTTCTTTCTGAAAAAGTCCTCTCTTGTCTCTTCTTTCTGTAAAAACCACTTTTCTAAAATGTCTTAGTTGTGTCATACCGCTGGCTTTACCTTTTTAACAGAAGGGTTGTGTTGTGAGGTGGTTGTGTGCAAAGATGCACATGAGAGTAAGAAGTGAATGTTTCCTGAAGAAGCAGGGCGAGCGGCTGAAATGCAGCCAGGATGTCAGAAGTGCACTTGGTCCGTACAGGAACTCTATGTGAGGCCACTCTCAAGGTTAAAATCTTTTGGGCTAAATTTGTTGTCCTGGGTTATTGGGAGTCACTCTGTTGTCTGACTTCAGGAGTCGGCCCTGAATGAAGTAGCCGTTTTAGCTTTGCTTTCACACAGGTAGAGATGAGCCTTGTGCTCAAAGCTGTAACTTGTTATAGAATGCAGTTTCCCAATTCTGTGAATAATACTCCCCTAAATGCAATCTTTTTAAAATTGTCCTTGACATTGACAACATTCTTCATAAATTAGACAAAATAATTAGCTCAGGAAGCAGTACGATAAAAATACCGATGTTAAAACAAAACCCACTTACCTTTCCTGTGTAAAATATGTCCTCTCTTTTGACTGTTCTGTCTGCAATCTTCTCGTGAATGGCTCGCCCAACCTCCTCCTCAGTCCCATATATAAAGGCTCCATCAATATGGCGGAAGCCAACTTCAATAGCCACCTTTGTAGCCTCCTCACATTTACTTTTTTGAACCTACCGGTTAAGAAGGTGTAGTGTCAATCTCTCTGGATTAGGGATATGGTATGCCAGTCACCTAGAGCTTTGATCACCATCAGAAAGACTTCAAAGTAGAGTGGCACATTTAGAATTTTGAATTTACCTTAAAGGAAATTCAAAGATTCTGGGCCTGATCCTCTGTTGCCCAGCATCTTGTGTCATCATCTACACCACAGCAAAGTAAATGGAATGTAGGTGTAAAAAGCTACTATTCAGACATGACATAGGTTTTTTACTCCCACTGTGCACAGAAGTAAATAACTCCTTGAAATGCAGAGCAACAGCATATCAGGCCCATTATTTCAGCTTTCTTTTTACAAGATTTAAAGATCAATCAGTACTGGACCCTGAGACCAGGAGTGAGGAGCTGTAAGAACCAGATATCAACATACACTGTGGATTAAAACCCCCAGTCTAGCTGAGCTACAACCTATTTATTTTTAAAAAAATCTTATGATTTATACGCCAAACTCATGATTTTGTCAAAACTGAATTATGGTTTTGAATTCTTGAGTTTGGCAGGACTGCATTCCTTTCATGAGTAGTTGTAACAAAAGCAGCTATTAAAACTGTTTGGTGAGAACTATGATTTCATGAACCCTTGTTGCTTCTTGGGTAATGACTCAGCTTTCTTCCATCTAGTTACATCTTGACTCTATTAAGATTAATAATTGAAAAATATCTGACAACAGCCATGCTTCCTAGAGGACAAATCTCTGTTGAGGCATGTGTGATTCTCATTACACAAAGGCCCCTTTACACTACTCTGGCAGTGCGATGCAGCCTTAAATTATCCCCACTTTAGAGTGGTGTCTTAGTATAACTGAGAAACTGGCCTGAGTGAACGGATGCAGTTGACACAGACTGCAGTGTGTAGGAAAGTCATATTTTAGGAGGTGGTCTTTTCTGGGAGGAGTAGAGAGATCATATCAGTCTGGCTAATACTGTGCAAAGATTGGAAGGACTCACTGAGACATAGGCCTCTATGTCATTTAGGTGCTTTTGAAAATTTTATCCTTATGAACTAAACCCAGTGAGGTAATTCAGGTATGATCACAATTTTACAAAACTGGGGAAACTAAAACACAAAGAGGCAAGTAAGATGCCCAAAGGTTACATAAGTGACTCAGAGGCAGAATCAGATCTTCTGACTCCAAGCCCCCTGCTCTGGCCACTAGACCCGTCCCCTCCACACTGGGATCAGCAGATAGCAGGACTGTTGAGAAGGGAGAAAAAGGAAATATACTCATTTTCCTTCCCTCAGTGTAATTCAATGAGCAGCACTACAAGGGCTAAAAATAACTAACTTCTCTTTAAAGAAGCTCAGGTTGGGACCAAAATGCATTGGCAGAGACAT